TGCAGCGTAGATGACGCTGTTCGCATGCTTATTACATCGGGAACAGGAGCTTTAATGGCTAAATTTGATTTGCAGCATGCTTTTCGACTTGTTCCGGTAAGACCTGCCGACTGACATTTATTAAGTTATCAGTGCAACGGGTTTTACTACTTCGATATCGTACTTCCTTTCGGTTCTCGTTCTTCTCCATTTCTATTCTCTCTAATATCAGATGCGGTACACTGGATATTTGTACATATAAATGGGCATGTTTTTGTGTTACATTACGTTGACGACTTCTTTATCGCAACGTCGGCTGATTATCTTCTGTGCGTGTCACTTATGAATAAATTTTCTGACTTGTGCGCAACTCTCGGTGTCCCATTAGCTGATAAAAAAACTGAAGGCCCTTCTACAACGCTGAAGTTTCTTGGTATTGTGCTTGATTCCGTTTCGCAGACACTCAGTCTACCGCATGGGAAACTAGCAGATATTATAGCTCTTCTTAATACCTGGAAACTTAAGAGTGTATGCAACCGTACAGAATTGCAAAGTTTAATTGGATCTCTCATGTTTGCATCGAAATGTGTGCCGGTTGGTCGTTTGTTCACGAGGAGGCTTATTGCACAACTGTCAGTGGTAAAAAATTTACCTGAAAATAAGATCAGCCTTGGCGACGATTTTCAAAGGGATATCGACTGGTGGCTTGAATATCTACCAAAGTGGAATGGTACAGCTAAATTTCTTGAACCAGATTGGACTCGTTGCGATACGATCCAGCTGTACACCGACGCATCAGCTACCATCGGTTGTGCCGGCTATTTTAATGGCGCTTGGTTTCAGTATCGCTGGCCAGCTTATATACTGGATGCGCAATTATCTATAGAGTTACTTGAGATGATTCCCATACTTATTGCATTAATAATATGGGGATCAAAGCTGAGCAGGCGAAAAGTAATTTTTCACTGCGGCAATCTCGGCGCCTCTCAAGCTTGGGAAAACTATAAATCTCGTAGCAGAATTGTCCTCGAAATAATGCGTCGGATGGTGGCCATCGCAGCTAAACTTAATTTTTCTATCACTATTAAGCATATATCTGGTATCAACAATAGCATTGCTGATTCTTTATCACGGTTTCAGATGAAACGTTTTGCCACCCTAGCGCCAAATGCAGATTCATTACCGCTAAATGTACCGGAAGGTGTTCTGATCGATCTGCTAAATTATCATGCGCTTCATCGCTAGACTGCCTTGATAAAACAGTCAACAGACTACGATTTCATCATATTGCGCTATCTTCTAGAAAAATTTATGGAAGTGGCATGAATAAATTTACCGATTTCTGCCAGCTGTATCAGTTATCTCCGTTAAATATCACTCAATCAACAATACTACGTTATTTGGCTTATTAGTGAATTAATATCAAAGTATGCGGCCGCGCTACTTACAGCTCTATCGCACCAAGTATGGCAGTTGCATAGAATAATTTAAGAATTATTTTCTTACGTCGTTTTGTTGCATGTTTTGCACTATTCCAGCGTAGTTTTTACTGCAAATCCAGCAACATCAAAATCATAGTCTCTGGATGTGCCAGCAGGGAGACGAGCGGTGTTTTAGAGGAGGTAGTAGCGGCCGTTTGTTTCATGCTTATGAATGCTCTTGGAAAAGTACCACCACTTAAGATTTTTGCGTGGGGATTTTAAAAATTAATGAATGATCCACAAGGTGTCCCCCGTTATTAGAGAAATCTTGCATGATCAGTGCTTGCGCTGATCTCGGAACAAATTGGTTCTCCCATAGACTTCTATGTTAAAAAGGACATACCGAGAAGTGCGGTTGCCTAGCACATGGATGTGGCGGGCCTCGAACTGAAAACTTCCATGAATCAGACGTGGACTACGTTAGTTTATCTTAAAGTGTTGACAAATGTCCACAATAAAGATGAGGAGGTATAAGCGTCGGACGAAATGGAAGAAAAAGCCATTAAAGCAATGATTAAAAAATGCTAAGACTGCTGCTTTAAACTTGCTGGAACGAGATGCCTCAAGCTTACTGTGTAAATGAGAAGTTTAAAAAGGGCGCTCAACACCTTTGGAATGAGATTTTATCAAATATTGCTGCTTGCGACAATCAGCGACTGTCCGGCGAAAGAGCAAGGAGGTCGTCCTCGTCCTTGACGGTGCCCGCCGTAAATTTGCAAAGGTCACGCAGGTTTCATGGGATTCAATGGGTGCTCTGCACATATCGCAGGAGCATTGGTTGCGAAATAGTCCAAACTTATAATTCTTGCTGTCCGGGATTAGTGAAATTTTCAAACAAATTTTAAGTCGGAAGATGGCAACCACGGCCAATGGGTCGAGCAACATTTTAATCCGGTCGGTTTTATAGTTATTACAATTATAGTTATTACATCCATTACTTTCCATCCTCCTTACAAATAGTACGTATGAGCTTTCTTGCGTGCTGTCTTCGATCGAAATTAGTCTGCTTTACGAATCCTCTGTCTAACATTACCTTTGCCGAAGCTGTGCTCAGCCTCCCCGCTTGCTTCCAAAGCGGCTAGTGCCGCAAATTGAGGCGCTGTCTGAATCGGATTTGCTGTAACCGTATCAGCGGTAACATTCACAACCACAATAACCTTTCGGCCGGTAGTTTCCTTGTCGGGTAAAGCGGTCGACGAAATATTGGTGAAAGTCTGCTGGCTTGGTGAGGTAGCTACCGTTATCGTGATGTTCTCACCCAGAACACCATCTTTTATAGCTTTCTCCAGGGTGTGCAACAAGTGCAGATATTCATCGTAGCGCTTCCCCGCATACACCGCGATACCGGAACTGATTTCTTTTGCGATACTTAGCGCCTTGTTAAATCGAGCCTCGCGCGATAGCGAAGACTTAATACCCACTTCACTATCCGCGAAATTTTCGAGGTCGTCATCCTCAAGATGACATGCTGCATGACTTATAAGTGCTGAGCGCAGAACGTCTGGATCAACACCTGAGAATGACCGGTGCCACCGTCCAATCGCGTCCGTGATCTGAATGTATGCGTTACTCGTCATTTGCCTGATGTGCATAACGTGTTTGCATGGCAAGCCAAAGGTACAGCTGAAAAAGCATGAGCAAACTAGCCGGCTTTCGCTCTTTTTGAGGCTGACGCTGTCTTGCTCTTGAATTTCCCTCTGGATGATATACACCGTGTCCGTAAGCGTGTTGGCGAGAATCCAGTTTCCTTCATCGATTTCTTGGAGGTTATAATGATTTATTTCGGTCCGCAGTTTTTTGATTTGAATGTAAAGAAGGCGAACAGCGCTCTCCGTCAACAGGTTTCCTGTGTCGGTGTGCCCCCGCGTGACAGTGTCCCATGGCCCATCCCACTCCAACAAAGGCACCCAAACTCCAACAAAGACACCCAGACAAACGACAGCCTGCTAGATCGCCTCCTCTAGATGTGACATGCATATTCATACTGCCGCGAATTAGCTACGACATATTCTGCCAGCGACCATACCGCGGCAAAATACAAAAACGCTAATGCAACGCATACTGGGGCAAAATAGCAGAAGGCTATTTAGCCGCCCATACTGGGGCAAAATAGCTAACGGCTATTTGAACTCAGTGTGGGGCAAAATAGCTAAAGGCTATTTTGCCTCGCATACTGGGGCAAAATAGCCAAAAGCTATTTTGCCACAAAGACTGGGGTAAAATAGTCACTTCGGAAAATAATTCTTGCTGTACCTAGGCCTTGTTTTTTTCTCCAAAAAATAAAGAAATGTCACCTGAGCCCCTATTAACCAGAACAGTTGCTCCTCATTAAAGACTTCTAAACCAGGCAGTTTGATGCGGTGTCCCGTGCGGCGCATAAAGTTATGAAAAGCCTGCAGAAGAATCATTTTTTGCGTACAGTCGTTCTTTCTTTGAAATAATAAGAACAATAACCAAATAAGCAGCGCGGTATCCGCCGGTGTCGGCGGTGTTCTCGATGAGAGTTTTCCGTCCATCGACACTGTCGTTCTTCGTGGGTATATTGCTGTAAAAATCCACCAAGGTGTACGTTCTCGCATTGTAATTGTTTTGTGTCGCAATTGTCCACCAGTAAAACGGTTTGCCGCGACTTGTTTTAAATTCTTTCTCTAAACACGACATTTACAGTTATGTGTCTGGATGAGATTGTTCCCCTTTAAGAAATCCGTACTTGCCTCCGATACCCAAACATGGGTAAATTCGTGACCAACAACAGCACCCAAGCGAGCGAAGTTAAATATTTCCAAGTTGCTGCCGTAGAACATTGGTGGCTGTAGCAGCGATTCCGGAATGACTGCAAGGCCAACCTTCGATGATTATTAGGTCCTTGTCAATCAACTTCGGACGAACCAAATAGAAATGAATAAAGAAACGATTACAAATAAGAAACAAAAGGAATGCAGCCGGCAAAAAGAAAAACTATAAACGGACGACTACTTTATACATAAAATACGAATTTTAACAGATTTATCCAAAAAGGAAACTAACAAATTTTAATAATTTTATAACTAAAAAAATTTGAGAAACATCTTATCGCGTATCGATACGTAATCTGAACAAGCTAACCCGATACCAATATAGTTGCTGTCCGAGTAATATGTTGCGGATGCTCGAGTAAGATCGGATGGGGTGAAAGGATCATTGCGGCCGTTAATGCGCGAGAGTTTCTGCAGGTTGATCCAGCTGTTACTTTGATCGATGCTGCGCAGTGTGTTGTAGAATGACTTTCTCACTTCAACCTTAAACATGAAACTACGTAGTATTTGCGCAGGTGTTTTTTCAAAATAAATTGCTAAACTGCAGCCACTTGGGAGTTGTTCTTCGTAATCCCAAAGAACTCTGCATTAGTAAGGCCTGCAATATGAGTTACTGTGACAGAATCATCGCTTCCAACACCAGTACTGATACAACGAACTTACTTAGACTTTCTGAGAGGATTTATCAAAATTTTGTGCAGTTTTACACCTTAAAGTTTCTTAAATGCTTGGTGGTGCGCCAAGGTCAACTAACCTTTGCGTACAGGTCATCAATTAGTGTCCAGTTGTCCAAGAATTCTCTGGGATAACCCACATTTAGCAATGTATGATTTAGCCTATCCATGGCGGTTTCTTGCGTTGCTCGGTCCATCCAAATTGTTTTGAGGATGACTGCGTCACGTACTCCGTCGGCAATTTCGGAAATCAGTTTATGTGCCTGTTGAACACAAACAGCCATTATTTGGTTTGGCAATTTTCTCTTTATGTGACTTTTCACCTGAACGCCACATTTCGCAAAACCGTTTTTTAAGAAATTTCGTTTCTCAATGAGACAAGGTTGTGCTTGACCTTTTGAACAACTCCGCTCGGAATGTAGGTCTCAAAGAACATTCGCGAAACTGTCAACGGCATAGCTGTTCTCAACAACTGCACGCAGTGATGTGCTTCCTGATATATAATGTAATAATGATATAGCGTTGTCCACCACAGCCAATCAGCCAGTGTCGCAAGTCCCGCATCCCCGTCAGATTCCAGCTGCGCCATCGTCTGATCCAGCTTGAGGAGATACTCTGGAAACGGGTCACCGAACTGTGTAGCGACCGTAGCACGAAATTTCACAGAAGTTTCTTTAAGGATGACATTGAACAGCGACAAGAGGCTTGACAGGAAATGAGAACGGAAAGGCGGTTTACTAAGATCCCCAAACGTTAAGCGCTTTAGCAAGTCCACCGTCCCTTTTGGCACCTGAAAATTATCTCCTTTAGAGAAGTAAAAACTAAACACTAAAGTTAGCCGTATGCCAAAAAGGGATAAATAAAGCAAGGAGATCAACATAAATTAACTAGCATTAGGCAAGGAAAAAAAATAAAATTAAACCAAACCAAAAGAAAAAACTTGCACCACTTCAAGGAAGAAACAACGTAGTAAAACGAAAAAAAAAATTTATTAAAGTAGTACAGAAAACTGTTTCCGAAAAACATTAAAATAGGGTTCGAAAAATATATTACTGTCAAGGAAACCATTTCAAAAATGTAAAGCAAAACATTATCGATTCGAAAACAAAAAAGGCAAAAAACTGCGAACAAAACTCCGAATTCTCAAACCACAGTTCGCACCGTTGATAGCATAAAATCCAAAATAAGAACTTTCTCCAACCGTTTCTCAACAGTAAACCACTGGGCACTGGCGTTGGTCACTTTCATCAAACCCTTGACAATCGACTTCCATACGGTAGTTAGCTGCCTAGCTGCATTGCATGGACCAGGGTAGCGGGCACACAGTCCCCACCGGTCGTAAAGGCGCCCAGGCAACCTGAGGAATAGGATATTCTGATCGGTGGAAAAGTCGTTTTTTTCTACGGAGAGGTAAAGGATGGACTGAATGTTGTTTTGCTGCAGACGGGAGACAACGTCGTCCAGGCGAAAAGCAGACACATTGGGATTGCCTTTTAATAGTGACCATCCACCAAACAAGTCATCAACAACGCGCACAAGACGGCGAATGGTCTGAACGTCGAATGGCCCGTCTGTAGAAAATATCAGATAACGGACGCCACATTCTACGTTTTTTGCAGCAGAACGTCAGCAAAAAACGCTCGGATCAAATGGAAAAAATTGCTATACATTCGCTGTACTGTTATCCTGCACTTGTGATGACATATAATGGGCATGATGTGCTGTAGCGCGATTGAGTTAAGAGGAGGATGATCAGCCAGTAGTAGTAAGTCCGGAATTTAGGTATGTGCACGATCAATGGACCCATACAACTTACGTTCGAACTTCGAATGCACTTTCATAGGATAATTTAAAACTTCCATAGGATATCTGCTTTCGCTTCACATTCATAGCTGTCGTTATAACAGTTCGTCTGTTATTACAGCCGTTGTTTTTTAGCGTTAACAACAATGGATTCTGATTTTGACGGATTTTCAGTGTCAGTTAGAAAGGCGTTTACTAATGACTGTCCCGCTACAGTAGCGGGACAAGTGCAGGGTAGGGGCGCTACCCTGCACTTGTTGGTACGGTATCAAGCCACCGTTCTGTAGGCGCATGAGAGTTAACCAGTAATGCCAGGATAGCTCAATATTCTTCAAAAATTGAGACTTACATCACTGAGTAGGATAAAATCTGAACTATTTAAATAAATATTTTGTTTTCCACGTAAGTATCACCACTTCTTTATAATAATCATCTAAAGTAAGTATGGGAAAACGTTTGATGACGTCTACGAACGCGACTGTGATTGATGATGCCGCCCAGTGCCCACGCGTATCTGAGATACCGATCTTTACTCTGAACTTGGGCGCTTGCCTGCCTGTACGGCAGATACGTTGTGATAAAAAAGTTGTATTTCACTGTAATTTTCAGCTTCACAGAGCACCGACAGATTATTATTATTTTCAATAGTTTTTGAGTCAAGAATTGTTTGATTTGCAATATTTCCTGGTTTGGAAAAACAAAAACAACAAGCATGCCGTAACTCAGAAATTATACCGCTAAATGCTCAGCAGATGCAACTCACTTTACTTCCATTCGCACTGAATTTCCGGATTATGATCTGCCAGCTGATAACCATGCGCTGCAACATATCCAGCGATCAGCGGTAGTGAAGATCGGTATGTCAGATGCGCCATGGGCGGCATCTGTGATGTGCGCATGTAAACGTGACCGAACGTTTTCCCATACAAGTGCCGGGTAGCAGTACAGTATTTATTTACCGATGTGAGTCAACATGGCAATGCAAAAAAATTTATCTTGCAGTGGCGTTTAGGTAAACTACACGAGGTTAATGTACCCCTTCCCTAAAAAATTTAGTTGCAGTTCAGATAATCCTACGTTGTACGGCGATGTTCACATATGCTGCCTGCAACTCAGCTTGAACCACGCCATACAGCCGGCTCTGCGATTAACCGTTTACCTATGACAATCCTGTAGGTGTAGACCGCACGAACACCTCACACCGCACGAAAGTTCTTTCAAGCGCAGGTTTACTTTACTGAGTGATTCCGAATACCATTCGTCTGGTTGATGCACTGGTTGTATATGTCCACTGCTTTTTCTTCCATGCGATTGGTGTAATTTCCGTTGTCGAACATCTTTAAATAAAGCAAAATTATTAATAATACAGTGGCAGCTACGTAGTATACACAAAATGCAAATGTTTGCCATGCTTGATGTGTTATATTTTATCTATTACCTGTACAATCCAAAGAATATTGTAACCGGGTAAACATAGGAACGTATAGAACGGAATGTCGAAAGAATATATGTAAAAAATGTGCACTTTTAAAAGGCAGCAAGCAACGGAATTTCAGTACTGAGAAATCTAAAACAAAACAGTACATCGCTCACGTTGTCTCACGTACCTTTGAGTTGTTTGGAAATCTTGAGACGTAGCACTTCGCTCCATACACCGTTGCTACTATTCAAACGGTTGCATGCGTAGGCGTAGAAATCCATGCACGGATTAACGGTTGCATCCATACTGGAGACGATTTCACGGGCTACAAACATCACAAACGAATTAGTAAAAGCTACCAAACGTAACTGTAGTGCCTCGCAACGACTGCAGCCATAAAGTTTTTAGTGAGGGGAGCTGCAAATTAAAATACACGCAGTGTAGAAAATTGTACCTGAACCCTTATTTTATAATTAAAATCTGATCTACGTACCAACTTGATGACAAACATCCGACGTGCAAACTTGGGTTGATAACTGGTGCAGCCCGGTTGCTTGTGCTACATTAGCAGCAATGACCAAAACTCCTACAACTTCCCAAAGTATCATCGCGTGACCACTTCTTGTGTCAGTTAAAAATCTCCCAAAACAAATAGTTTCCAGTAACAACTTTTGCAAATTATCGCAAATTAAACAAACGAAACATTAATGTGTATAAAATAGAGGAAACAGTCGCTAAAATATACGTCGCATTCTCAGATGGCACAGCTCCTCCAGACAGATTTTTCGTAGAACGTACCAGTATGAATATCAGGAAGTATTGAAACGTTGAAAGCAACTGTGTGCCCTAGAGAAAAATTATTCAGTTGCTCAATGTCTTTATTCTCTAATTAAACGCGGCGTTTATACCAAATATGGCTAGCGGCAAATCCGGGAAATTAGTATTTATATATTTATCTAGGGTTTAGAATTCATGACACTGCATGTGTTTACGTAATCTACACGGAATCAAGAAACGAAAACAATTACATAGTTCCTTGGTAGAGGGATAGCTTTTTCTTTGGTAGTATACCATTTGTTTACGTAAAGCGGCTGGCTGAAAAAAATGGCCGGGCGGCTACCGGCCACTGTGGCCAGGAAAAGAACAATCAATGTCATTAATCCAACAAAAGTAAGTACAAATAGAGCTTAACCGAGATTGACATCAAACTTAGTCGGTTGCGCCGAATGGAAAGGCATAAACTGAAAGAATTAAATTGTAAGAAACTTTTATTTATTGAAAGTATTGGCGATGTTAGATATTAGTCCATGTTGCACTGTGATGTGGCAACTATGTACAATAAGTGCAATAAAAAGTATATTGGCGCTGAATGCGTGATCATTCAAGGTAATCTGGGGACGCGACACCCGCACATTGAAATTCTCTAACTTCAACAAGGCAATTGCCTATAGCTTATTTGTTCGTTCCAAAGAATTTTAACAGCAGCGACTGTCCATGCTAATTTAATGCGCTTTGCGCATTAAATTGCGCGCATTATTTATAAGCTTAAGTTCGGCAAAGTTCCACTTTGTGAGCTAATGTTTGTTCCATTGGAAATTCCCTTTTCTGCGCTTGAGTCTGTTTCAGGTCACACCCGTTCAACTGCCCGTCTCCATGTCCCGTCAAACCGGCACCGACAACCATCTGCGGTACTACTGTTTTTTCGCGTTACGGATCACATGTGGACAGTCTAGCATCGATATGGAATGAATTGCGCCTTCCCCCCGAAGCTTACCTATCACTGAAATCCTTTCAAGCTGCACTTCAGGATGTTGACTGGAGCAATCTAACAGTGGCTAAACGACTGCTGGAGTTTAAATAACTTTCAAGTTTTTTTTGTTCCTGTTTTTGCATTAAATTTTTGTTTTCTGTTTTATATCGCTTCCGAATTATACAATTTTTGTTCGTTAGTTGTGTACGTACTGCATGTTTAAATAACCTTCTTGTCGACCTAGTGTCTGTTGCCTCGAGGGGGCTGTTCGCCCCGTTGCAAATGACATTAAAGCATTATTATTATTATTATATTAAACGCGCTGCGCGCTTGGGGGAATGCGCTTTGCGCTTGGACTCTTTGCCGGACTCGGATGACATCTCGGAAGTTTTTTGTGCAATTGTAACGTGAAACTGATATTTCTTATTACCGAAGTAATGTTTTGAATGTTTCTACCTCTCGACAGATTAGTGCCAAACATTAGAGAAGTCAGTGTATTTGCATTAATGACTGTCAATTTATATAGAAATCAATTTTCGGGATAATGGTAAATATTTCTGTTTCACAGAGTAGTTTGAAGAATACGAACTCCATTAACTATCCTGCGAATTTACGAAGCAGCAAGCCACCTGAAGCCACAATGAGGGCTTTAGCACCAATTTATTAACCCTGAAATTCTTCGACTGCAGAGTTACTACTAAATGACACAACATTCAGCAGTATAAGCACTGTATTCAGTGTATTGATAGTGTAACGTAGTAACAACAACAGTATTCTGTCTGTAGCAGAAACATAATATCCATGAAAACTGCCGTTTTCAATATATTTTGAGTACTGAGTAGTCGTGTTAGATTGTCAGCTGGAATAACGATTCAGCAATCAGCAAAACACGTTACGGCCAGTCTTCCTATTATCCGCAAAGATGGGCATTACGCTGAAACGGAGTTTAGTACCCGTTTGCAGTGGCTGACTGCTTATTTTTCGAATTTTACTCATACTTTCCAGCTTTCCGGCGTGCTTGTGCGCAGCGTGGCATGTAAAAATTATGTTTGCACATTGTAAGTTTCATACTGTTGCCACCCGCTTTTAAACAGCCACATGCTCTGTTGGTCACATGGTGTGAGCAAACACTTTTAAACTTGATATGCATTATGGCCCAGGTAAACAGATATTTAATTAAAACCAATTATTACAATTGCAGTGACATTAGCTCTGTTAACTTTGTAAATTGATGGTTCTCTGGGGACAAGCTTGCCGATGGAAATACTGATGCAACCAACAGTGCAAATACTACATGCCTGGCATTGCTTGCATAAAAACTTTGCACCGTTAATTAAGTGACCGAAGTCATCATCATGCACATGTACAGGTAACCGTCCAAAACGTCCTGTCGTCTGAGACGTCCGCCGGTCGTTTCGGCCCTTGAGACTTCCGAAACGACCGGGGGCCGCTAAAGCGGCGGCAACAAAGCAGTCTAGTGGAACTGGGATCAGCAATTCAACTTCCAGCTACATGTGAGCCCGTTACTTGCAGTTTGCATGTTTCTGTGTTAAGCGTGAGATAAAAAGTGTTACTATCGTCTACCGCCACCGGTAAGGTGACGCTAGATTAACTGCCTTTTCGACTTGCAGTGTATTTTCTGTGCGGCACGAAATCTTTATGCAGAATCTTTAAGCAGAATCTTTATGGTTTGCACAAAAGTGGTTAAAACGGCACACTAAGCGCACAGAAAAACCATTCCAGTAATTTATTCTTTATTTTCCAACCAAAGCAGGGCAAAAGAAGTCATGTTTTTTGGACAAAATATAAAAATCAAAAGAATGGGAGAACCCAGTCATCTTCAAAATTTTAGCCAAATCATGGTGCCACAACGGAAGATTCACGCTGGGTCACGCGCCGGAAATCCATAAAATCGTTTTCTTTAATCGCCTTTAACTTTGCGATTTTTGTAAGATTTGAATATTTATTGAAATACCTGGCCATTGTGATAGAAATTATTTACACGCATATCGAGATACGCGTGTTGAAGCGACCCGAAGAGTTAATTTTAAAATTCAGGAAATGGGAGCGGGAGCGGGAGCGATCAATTATCTCAATATCAAACGTTTTCAGTAAAAGCACTCGTTTGTTGAGAATTGTCGAAACTTCTATTAATATGCATATTACAACCATTAATCGTTAGAAACTTTCGTGTTTGATAAGCTCGTCAGCGAGACACAGCAGAAGAACGATATCTGTGCTGCACTCTATAAGCATTGTGACTGAAGATACTGAAGAAGCGAAACGTGGTCGGCAACTCGCGGTACGGGTGCTGCCATAAGTGTTTTGTGGAAAACTGACTGCAGTTTCCAATGCTTCAGCCTGCTAGGCCAGCGAAATTCCCGGCCGGTGTTATTCAGATTTCCCGGTAGCCATATTGGCCGGTACCATTTTGATGCCAGTCCAATACTGCCGGTACAGCTTGCTGAAATTGATAACCAGCACCATTTTTCCGACAATATTTCAAGATTCTCCAAATTGTAAGCTGAATCTGCGAAAAGCGTGTTATACTTGATTGCTTCGGTAAGCGCCGTTGGTATATAAGGACTTAAAGTACATGCTTAAATTTCGTTAATCCACTACTATCAGTTTCCTGATTTTAAAATTTTGTGCTTTGTGAAAGGTTCAACTGCAACATACAGAATGAATGCCCTGATTTACTTGTCTTGCATAAATCTGTTCTTTACCATGCAGAGCGAATTTGCTCAGGTGTCCGGACAGCATACTGGTGGTGACGTTCCCCCCAATGTCGGTGAAGAACCCAACGTAAGCTAATTTATTTTTTGCAGGTTTTTTGCTAATAACATTGTGCCCTTTCGTTAAAAAATCGTAGGCGCTGCAGTACGAGAACAAATTACTTTAGCGCGAGTACGTAGAATCTTGTTAGTTCGTTTTTTTACTGTTCAAGCTGACTCTTGAAATAAGCGTTCGTGTTTCTTTTTTTAGCCATGTTATGTGATCGGAAACGAAAACTTACCTGAGTGCCGCAAATTCTTTGCGGAATTGCAAGGCTCGCGGTACGTACTGCGTTATAATTAAAATAAACTTAATCAAAGGTCATTCGATTCCACATCATAATCCAACAAACTTAAGGCACTAGTCAAAATGCGTTTGAACAGTTATCTTATGCTAGCGACTGAACAAAACTGTAAAGAAAACCTGATGCATAAACGCTTTGTTCACATTATTTTTAAACCAGCTTTTCTGAAGAGACGCGCGAGTGTCAATAATGTACTTTTCCTGAGTGTATGATATTACGATCAATTTGTAATCTATTACTGTGGAACAGTTCGGTTCTGGACTTAAACATGATTCGCCGTTTGCTCATTGTAGGAACACGCCCTCGGAAACTTCTGGAACTGTCCTAAGTTTGCTCATATGGGGCGCAAAGGAGTTCATAATATGCTTATTTGTTCCGTTTACCGTTCTTTTGTGTAATATCACGTATTGTGTAATAGGCGGGTTTTCCCCGTGGGGCCGTGTACCCCATGGTTTCCCTGCTTTGTTGGGCGTACAGAATAAAATCAGTACGGAAATAAGCTTGCAGTTACCTAAATAAGTAGCGAAACAAACGCCATGAACAGTACTCAGTAAGAAACGGCATATGTATCTGCTAATGCTTACACAGAAGCTTCCAAAAAATTTAGAATATGTTTTTAAAGCAGACAGGGTACATTCTTCTACTTCATCTTTCAACAGCATGAAATGAGATTTCGAATATACAGAGTAGTATACAATGTAGGACTAAAAAGACGCATATCCACACCCACAGCATTTCAACGCATACGACTCAGCTAGAATATCCGATTGCCGTAAAAGTGCTCTGGGCCACATGCGTACGGATATCTGGGTATGGGGTTATGCGTTTATAGTCCTACATTGTACCCTGTATGGGATAGCCTAGTTAAAGATATTAATTGTATTGATGCGCTGATAAAAAATGCAAAGGCCTGTCTAGTGCGTGTTAAAAAAGACTGATAATAAAATACCTCGTGCCCTTGACGCTACATTCCGGCGTGCCAACGCACCCAAAGTGGATTTTCCAACATTAGCGATTCCATATAATTATTACATTCAACCATTTATAAACATGGTTTATGTTCACTGATATACACTGATATACACAAGAAGCAGCATCAGCATCTCCTACGTCTTTTTTGTGGTTAGCAGTCACTCTTGAAATCTGAACCTTTCTCGGAATCAATACACTTTTCACATCGTGTCCGTCTAACTTCTGGGAAAAATTAATTTTTTTATTGAATTTCAGCATTTTTGCTGGTTCGCATACATACATACATTCATACATTAACATTCATTCAGGGAAAAACCCCTTGGAACGTGGCTGGCCAATTGAGATTGTAGTGTATAGTGCAAGTACGCGTACGTGCAATACAAGAGCAGCGATGTGTATTCTTATGAATGTGAGTAATGTCTAATGTTCATTGTGCCGTAGCAGCTTGTAATGAAAGTCCCAGCGTTGCTGCGTTATGTCTCTTTAGTTGGTTTATGTTCGGCGTTTCACTGTAGCTTTATTTCGAAAACCTAAGAGCATAAAGAAAACGTTTTCTTTCACAAGACCCTCATTCCTTCCTTTACCAGTCTTCCCGCTTTTGTGAAAGCATGATTCAAACCTAAAACCATCTCTACCACGCCCTAGTTCGAGGGTTCATGGGAGATCCCAACGGACAGTTGTAAGCTGCACCAAAATCCACACTATTCATGTACGGTCCCATCACGCGCAATCGGTACGGTGCGTACGTTCCACCGGAATCTGATGGATGACGGGTGCACATTGTCTACAAACAATCCTCGCTTTATCTGAGCCGTAAGAAACCGGAAAGAAAGGTTACCTGAGCCCCTATTAACCAGAACAGCTGTTTCTCATTCAGGGCTTCTAAGCCCGGAAGTTTGATGCGGTATCCCGTGCGGCGCACAAAATTATGAAAAGCCTACAGGAGAACCATTCTAAGCGCACAACTGTTCTTTCTATAAAATAATAAAAATAATTACCAAGTAAGCAGCGCGGTATCCGCCGTTGTCGGCGGTGTTCTCGACGAGAGTTTGCCGTGCATCGATGCTGTCGTTCTTCGTGCTAATATTGTTGTAGAAATCCACTAAGGTGTACGTTCTCGCATTGTAATTGTTCTGTGTCGCATTTGTCCACCAGTAAAACGATTTGCCGTCGTCTGTCTTAATCTTTTTTGCTAAAAACGACATTTGTTGTTATAAACTTGGATGAAAATGCTTCTCGTTCATGAAACCGTCACCTCCATACTTGCCTCCGATATCCAAAACGTGGGTGAATTCGTGGCCAATGGCAAAACCCAAACGAGCGTAATTAAAAATATCCAATTTACTTGCGTAGAACATTGGTGGCTGTAACAGTGATTCCGGAATTACTGCAAAGTGCAAAGCCAACCATCGATGATCTTTAGGTAGTTGTCAATCAAATTTTAAAACACAAAGGAGGAATTACTTATGATGAAATCACAAAAGAATGAAGATAAAGACAGACAAAAGAATAACTGGCAAAAGGAAATAAACGAACCCACATCAATTAAAAACGCATGCATTTTTATTCAAAATGCAGAATAAAAAATTTTGTCAATTTCATAACCGTCGAAATTTGTAAAATATTCTTTCAACAACATACCAGACACAGTTGTTTGAAAGATGGTAAATTAAAAAGTAAGGGAACCCACATAAAATTAACTACGTTAACTAGTTAGTTAATTAGTGAGCTAGTTCAACTGTGTAAGTTAAGTTAAACAGAAGGATAAAAATTAGATATATGGACGATTTCGTACCACTCCAAAAATTCGACCCATTATTTTTCGATAGGTACAGGTATTCATAGTATTCTCGCGTATTCCACCGGTATTCGTTCGTGTTCTAACTATATTCCGCCTTATTCGCTCTCTATCCATTAAATGCCTCTCTATAGCAGGCCATGTATTCCCATATTCCACCGGTATTCTTGCGTGTTCTGCCTGTATTCCGCCCGTATTCTGACTAAAAAACTTAAGAATACATACTACTGTAACTAAAAATAGAGGCACAATACGAACGAATGCCGGTGGAATACGCCGGAATACATGGTCCGCTGCAGAGAAACACTTTACGGATAAGGAGAGCGAATAAGGCAGTATGCAGGCGGAACACGCAAGAATTCCGGCAAAATACGGGGAATACAGTTACCGCTGCAGAGGGACACTTAATGGATGCGGAGCAAATAAGGCGAAATACAGGCAGAATCGTATCCACATGGCGGTACTAAAAAGAAGGCGTACGCGCGCCACTGGTGACGTCACAGTAAGGCAAGCAGCCCGGTTAAAGCGCAGTGCTTTAAGTCTCGTAGGCTCCATAGACTGCTATGGTTCACGCATTTTACTTCACGTCCTGTGGGATCATCGAGTTATAGCTCAATAGAAAGAGAAACAAAATTTAAGTTTATAATGCAAATGCCTTCAGTAATAACAGCGAAGTAAGATTTTTAAAAGGTTTCGAAAGTAAGCCGAGTTAGCATACAAAGTCAATGCAACGGTTGGTTCAAACCGCGCGACCGTTGTGCGCTAATTGCATACATTTTGAGATCTTTTTAAAACATTTAATCGACTTCAGTTGCACACATATTATAGATTGAAAATCTTAGAATTCTTTTCTCTTTCTTTCAACCTATAGCCCGCTCATTTTCAACTTCTAAAACTTAAAATCGCTTAACATGGCAACCAGTGGAGCCTACGAGTCATAAAACATTGTGCAGATGGCTGGCTTGCCTACTCGTGACGTAGCACCGGAAGTAGGCGTGTCGCGCTAATGCCTTCTCTTTAGTACTGCCATGGTATCCATTAAGTGACTCTGCAGCTGACCCTATATTCCCCATATTCTCGAGAATTCTGCATGTATTCTGACTAAGAAAACCTTAGAATACAGGCTGAATACGCCTGAATACTAAAAATACGTAACGGAAAATGATGGGTGGAATTTTTGGAATTTTAGGAAACGAGCTACAGGTGAAAAACTAAGTAAAGGAAAGACGGTTCCGCCCGATACCAATATAACTGCTTTCCGAGTTCGTCTCGGCGAATACTTTCGTAAGGTCGGCCGGGCAAAAGGAATCGCTGCGAGCTCTAGTGTGGGTGAGTTCTTGGAGGTTGATCCAGCTGTTGCTTTGATCAATGGTGCGCATTGTCTCGTATATTGACATTCCCACTTGAACCTGTAAGCACGATAGCATTCTGAAGAGTTCTTTCAAGGTTATTGTTGCCACATGTACACAGTTCAGTAATATTATGTCGATAAACACAACAGCAACGCTTTCGGTATATTGAGTAGTGACCGTGTCCCCGCTGTCGGAGATTGTACCAAAGCGAAGATCACACTGAGGGGATCCGGCTTTTTTGGGCTATTCCACACTATAAAGTTTGTTTTCAAAACTAGCAAGGTTAACTACCCTTTTCGTAGAGGTCATCGACCAGAGTCCATTTTTCTAAAAGCTCTTCGGGATAACCAATTTTCAACAATGTGTTGTTTAGTCTGTTCTTGGCGGTTTCTTTTGTTTCCCGGTCCATCCAGGCTGTTTTCAGCAGGACTGTGCGTATTCCGTTGAGTATTTCGAATGCCAGCTCTTTTGCCTGTTAGACGCAAGCAGTCGTTAATTCTTTCTATATTTTTTACCTTACTTCTTGCTTGGACGCCACATTATGCAGACATTTATTCCTAAGCAATGTCCTTTTTTAACCATACAGTTCAGTGCTTGACCTTTCGAACAGCTTTGTTCGTTATGTATGCATTGAAGAACATTCCCGAAACAGTCAACGGCATGGCTGTTTTCACCAGCTGCACGCAGTTGCGCGCCTCTATATATGCAAGGTAATGGTGATAGAGCGCAGTCCACCAGAACCAATCAGCTAGTGTCGCAAGGCCCGTATCACCGTCTGATTCCAACTGTGCCATCGTCTGATCCAGCTTGAGGAGATACTCCGGAAAAACGTTCCCAATCTGTGTAGCGGTGGTGGCTTGGAATTTCACCGAAGAAGCTGTTAATATGGCATTGAACAGCGGCAATAAGCTCGACAGGAATCGCGAACGGAATGGTGGTTTACTGAGATCACCAAACGTTAAACGATTTAGAACGTTCGCCGTTGCGTTTGGCACCTAAAGAATAATTAATTCAGAAAAAATTAAACACGTCAACAGTAGAAAGAAAAGGTAGAACGATAGAACACCCAAGGTAACAGTAGGCACAAACTAATTAAATAAAATGAACATTAACAAAAAAAAAACATTATTAGTAAATTCGGCAAATAAACACGAAAAAGCCAAGAAAGATTTGAATGATTAAGGATATTTTCGAATAACGATTCACACCGTTGAAACCATAAAATCCAAGAAACTGCAAATAAACGATGAAATAAAACTGAAATTACAAAACAAATTGGCATTAAATCATAGCCAAACGAAATCCAAAATGACAAATGGAATGAGAACAGGCAAGGAAATTTAAAAAAATTGCTAGCGGAAGTTTAAAAATGTTCTTGTTACAGAAATCAAACTAACAAATAAAAAGCAATTGGAAAATATTCTACCATCAAAACAAAAAAGCCAAAAAAGTTGAAGGAGCGTTTGCATGCACATTTTAGTAAAAGTTCGCACCGTTGCCATCATAAAATCCAACAACAGAACTTTTTCCAGCCGCTTCTCAACCGTTGACCACTGGACACTTGCATTCGTCACTTTTATCAAACCCTGGACAATCAACTTCCATATGGTCATCAGCTGCCCAGTTGCATTGCATGGACTGGGGTTACGGCCACAAAGTCCCCTCCGCTCATAAAGGCGCTCAGGCATCCTAAAGAAGAGGATATTCTGATCGCTGGAAAAATCGTTTATTTCTACGGACAGACGGATGATGGTCTGAATGTCGTTCTGCTGCAGATGGAGAAGAACGTCGTTTAGGCGAAAGGCGGACACATTGGGATTGCTTTTCAGTAGCGACCATCCACTAAAGAAGCCATCAACAGCACGCACAAGCCTGCGAATGGTCTGGACGTCGAATGGCCCGGCTGTAGAAAAATCATCAAACGGAAGTCACATTTTCCATTTTTCGCAGTAAAACAATTTGCTCGACTAAAAACTGAAATGACTGTTATACGTTCACTACACAGCTGCCCTGCACTTATCACGACATTTTTACGGCGTGAGGCTACCGTTGCCACGCCAGTTTGGTGGCTGCATCAGAAAAATTTCCATGAACCCCTGGCTAAATTGATAAACGTTTTAAACTTTTAAGTGATCGTCTTTTCCTGGGCAGGGTGTAAAACCTGGCAGTGGAAACTGCCAGTGGCACTGCCAATGGCATGGCAAGACTTTGGCAACTGGCAAACGATAATTATAAAATTTGGCAGATGCCGCATAAAATGTGGCACAATGTGTAAGCGGGTCCGAACTCCGAAATGTTTGGTCAACCGTACAATTCTTAACATGTTGCCAGTATGCAGTTAGTTTTTTCGTGTAAAGCGTCAACAACGTTAGCTATCAACTAAGGAAGCAGCGTTCGCATGGAGAACTTGAAAGGTCACAGCATTTTGCCTTTCCGCAAAGTACCGTAACAAAAGAGAAAGACAAGGCAGTTGAAAGCACGCAAATGTTCGACTCACAGATGAAAACGAGGGGTCTCACTTATGGTCAGTTACAGACAGCTTTACAGAGGACAAGAATTGTTTATTATTATTTATCATCGCAGTACAGCCGCCAAACTCCACTAACAGAGATATCGTACCAGCCACCAGGCTACTGGAATTTTTTGTTAATTTAGAAATTGTTGATTAAGAAAATTTTTAAGTTCCGGCTCTTAGCATTCACGTGCATCCATTTAAAATCGAATCATTGCGCAGCTGTCCTCTGTACAACAAGTTCATACACTCGGTAAAGCTCACTACAATAAGTTTAAGGCAAAAATTAGGAAATGAGCTCTACAAAATGTCTCCCGGTGCCACTTCGATTGTATCTGTAGTAGCGAAAATCGGGTTGTTGTAATGCAACGTAACCGGCCAGGCTGCCATCGGCGGACATAGTATTGCTGTTTAAGATTCTTAGTTAGTGACAAACTGAGCAAAACTCTCAGGTTACATGCACCAGCAAAGTTTCACTATAGTTTACCCTCCAGCGGGCGGTACCCGAAGGAGTGCGAGTTTCCTTATAAAAATCAGCATTTCCCGCTGAAAAAATTCAATTAAGAAAGGGAATTTCTTGTGAGGCTCTGTTGACCATAGGTCAGCGGTGGTTACTATGTCGCATGCAGAACGCCAATGCCCATGGACGGTCTGCAGCATAAAAACATTTAATTCTGCAATAATTAGGCAAACAATTATTACGTAAAAGCAATAATTTTCAAATAGCTAAAAAAATTGCTTTAAAACAGAAGTATAGAAGTGGTCAACACATTGACCACTGGTCAGCAAAAAAATTAAAAGCTGCCAAAACCCGTTTCCATATGTTTTGACCACTAATAACCAATAAAATACAAAAAAAAAATTACGCTGATGATATTCCTTTGCCATAAGCTTATTAGAATTGCATATTATGGTACTGCATAAAGCACTCCCTATGAAGTCTGCCATTGCACTTGCTGCATTTCGACCACTTTATGATGCTGCGTCGTCCGCGGTTGCACTTCTGGGTTTAGCCGCAAGGGACAGTATCAAAAAGCGTTGAGGATGGTGCAGCTGCAGTGGCGATAGATTCAGATATAAGCGGCCACTATGCACTAGCACTTTTTGAAACGCACAAGTAGCCAAAAGTAACCAGTAAGGCTGCCGCAAAGGTCAGCATCACCCATGATAATGTGCACATTACAAGCTGCAATCACTAAAGTTTGCAAATGCCAGAGGCTGGTCGAAGTTAAAATTCTCATAATTTTCTAAAGCTACAGGGCTCCCTCACTTTGTTTCTCAAGCGATGCATCGCTAGCGTAGGAAGAAACGGGCAGAGCGCAAAGTGCTATGCTGCCATTTTATATCGTTACCGTACATACACTGTTTCCTTGAACGTTTTATTGTCCGGAGGCAGACAACGTTTGAGACAATTTTGCTTTTCGCCGACCGCCCGGTGGGGGCTGATCAGAAAAGGGGCTTTTTGCCAGCTTTCGACAATTGTAACCGTGTGGCGCACGTTTGTGTACAGAGCTTGATTCGATTACGTAATAAAGCGCTGCTGTCGAAATTGCACCCGCCCGTGTATTCAGAACCCTTCATGGGCAATGGCGTTTAACAGGAGACACACGCTTTTGACGGACTGTGCTCATCTATGGTTCAACCTACAGAACCCGTGTTAAGCGCTTTTAGATTCAGCTCTCTCAATTGTACCTTGTTGATTTATCTCCGGTTTAATTAATCATTCACTAGCAAGACCTACGGCAGCAAGGAAAGTTCAAAATTAACGATTTTCGCGGACCTGTCGTTCGTAATTAACTTGCGTTTTGCCCATGGTGTTTTCACCTTCGAATGTAAAGGTTATCTGAAAACGAAATTATCACTCTGCACAAACTGCCAGTATACAGTAAATACTGGCAATGCCACTCGATGCCAGCTGATTTGAAATGGTAATACTAATTTCGAGCCAAAACTGAATCGCAGGTACCGCTTTATCTCTGGCGTAATATTGTCGGTGTTGAGTACAGTAATTGGCAAATATTTACAATTAAATTAAATAATTCAAACCCTAAAAGCGTACAAGCATCAGAATCAGGCTTGCAGTAATCAAGCCAAAATAAAGGTTTGTAAATAGAAAAAAACTCAGAACACGTGTGCACAGCCAACACCCGTTCCCGAACTTCGTGCGCCTAGGCGAGTGCAATGACACGTGCACGCAGCATGTGTTTTACCGTTCATTGATCTAATTTTATCCCTAATTACTAAAGCATGCATGCTGATTACACTAACCCAGTGGTCGTCCGTACGTTTGGCTCACCGTATTTCAGAATAACAAGTAAATGAATTATTAACACGACCACATTTCGCGCAATGTTCCGGAAACTTTCAAAATATAGAAAGAGCAGCCGCCAGCGTGACGCGGTTTCCAAAATATCAGAAGCAGCCTAAATCGGCTGCAAGAAAACCCTTGACATCTGCGTTTCTCTTCGGTCTGGATCTTGCGACTTGTGTTGTGTTTAGGTGCGCTCTGAATGATAATAATGACAAATAATGAATGGTAACATTCATTATTTGTAGCGCTAGACCAAACGATGTTTGGGCTAGCGCAGCTTGTTGTTAACAGAGTGCAACTGCACTGTTGCATAAAAAAGTGGCGCCACATAAGCGTTATGCGTTTCTAACTGCATTCTGATTGTGGCAGCTACGCACTACACAGTACACGCGAATCTTTACGTTATTGCATACATAAATCAATCCCTGCTATGTTGCTCGTTCATTAAACATTCAGCAATCGGCAGTGTTTGAGAGGAGTACGCGAAGTCAGATGCTGTATTTGATGTAGCACTAGTGCACATTACATCTATCCTCGGTATTAGTTAGCACAGACAGGGAAGCAGTATTTCACGTCAACAAGCCCGTATAATATACGGACTTGTTGACCTAAAATATTCGACATACATATTATGTCGAATAGCGTTTCCATACGTACATGAAATTACTGTATTTTACTTGAACGTATACTTAGCTTAGTAGCCATTTTTTGTTAAAATTCAATTGTGCTGTTAAATATTGCTAAAAAGATTAACAGTAATGCATCTCTGTAGGCTCTAAAATAATGCAGCTCGGTAGATTCTAAACAGAACATTACAAAATAACGCAGAGCCAGTGATGATGCGGTATCTCAGGTACTGTATGGCATAAAGTCAGTTGAGTATCGGTTGAGTATCAGCTGAGTTACAGGTTACGAGTTACAAGTTATCTGGGAACCATTCGTACTCGTACACGGTTCGGTACTGCAAGATCAAACCGTAATGGCATAAGTGTTAATGCTGATAAAAACTTACGTAATTGCTTATCTAGGTTACAAAAAATATGCAACCTAAATACGCAGTTTAAAGTAGGGTAGCTAAATTTTCAAGCGTTTATACATTTGTGCTGCTAATATGTTTGCTTGTGCCGGCACTTTAGCAACGATGAACGTATTTACGTAGCGAACAGTTTGCGAAATTGGATTTTACTGCAAAGCACAAATCATTTACACAAACTTGCAAACATTGCGGCTGCTTAATTCTACCGTACTAACCTTTTAACTTGTACAAACCAATGCCATTTACATTCAAACTTTAAAAACCCAAATAATTAGAACAAGTAAATAACTCTTCTAACTCTCGAGAACACCCGACCGTCTCCAGGACAGAAGCCGCGTTTCCGCGCTGAATTTCCACACTTACACGTTGCCATAAATACTGAACAGCGCGCGCTTCTCCTGTTTGTTCTTTGATACGCCGGCCGACTTCATTGATCATTTACACCCACCCTTTTTACCCATTCCGCACCTTGTCATATACCGTACTTCGCATTTACGCTGTAGGGAAGCCAAACAAGCAAAATTGGTGCGATTCTCGGGTCATAGGTGCGTAGAAACAATGCAATCTTATTAGTGGCAGGTGCCACGTTTTATCGTTTGCCAGTTGCCAAAGTCTCCAGTTTTATCGCTTGCCATGCCACTGGCAGTGCCATTGGCAGGTGCCACTGCCATGTTTTACAACCTGCCGTTTTCCTGAGCGCGCGTAACATCGCGAAAATACGAAAACCTGATCAGCTCGCGTGAACTATGCGCTACAGGTCGCCTTTTCTTAACCAGATTTAATTTATCTTCCAGTTCATGACTTGCCGAACGATTCATTTTGGCTGTGAATCCCGTGAAGTTCACGTCACAGTACTAACCCAATTCAACCACGAACACGCTTCGTAAAAAGTAATGTAAAGGCCATTCTTACTGCGCTAGCTTCAATTGGGGGCCAGTGATATATACACCTGTGGCACGTTTCGTACCAAACGAAAAAATTGAATCGTTTTTTCTCCTCTTGGAGTCACAGTAGACAGCTGTATACAGGAGGCTGTAGACACCCTGTAGTCCTATCGGTAGTCACCGGGTTTCTTAAGTTTTCGTAGGATGTATACAGGGTTTCTTAGGTTTTCTTAGGATGTATACAGGGTGTCCACTACGGTGTCTACAGGTTGTCTACACTGACTACAAGGAGAGAAAAAACGCTCCAGTGTTTCTCGGTGGTACGAAACGTTCCATATATAAAAGAAAACAGCATTGTGCGGTTGCGCCCTTCTCTGCCCGTTCTATCTTACCCATATATTCATTCCCATATATTCTTTCCCCCCAAATTTTTGCAAGACGAAAGCGGCAAGCAGTCCTATCGCTCGCAGAACATGGTATCTCCGAGTCATAGGGCTCATAACATGGGTCCCAGGCGTCAGTTTATCGAAAATTACGAACTGAATCGAGGCAACTCCTGGCTCAGGTCTGCGGTTGGACCTTGTGAGTGCAAAAAATGTAGGGTAACATCCCTCACGAGTTCACCAGTGCCTTTGGGAAGTCATATATAAACACGGGCAGTAAAATATGATCCAAGCAAAAATGGGTATTAGACTTTGTACCGGCTTCCATGTCAGCACACTGTATTCAATGCCAAAAAAGAACAACTCCCACTTTTGGGACCGAGCGCTTTGCAATTAAGCAGCTCAAAGTACTCTCTTAACGGCCCTTAATCTGACTTGAGGGGGAACCGCGCTAGTAGATTCTGAATTTTTTACTAAATTAAAGGTTTCTCAAAAGTGTGAATCAATCGATCAATGCTTCAGAGGGTGTTTCTCGGCTTCGTAACCAAAAATCGATTGTTTTTATTGACTATGAACGCACAGAAAAAACTGCACTAAAAACTTTAAAGGTCTTGGTAAATCCCAAGCGACACAATCTGACAAAAAAATTGAATTCCCACCCTCCAACATGCCGTGACCAGGATGTAAATAAAAGAAAGTTACGCCGTACGAAGGCGCCTTCAACTGCCGCTATACTTTACGGTAGCTTTGAATACCTTTCGTCTCGTTAATGCATTGATTGTATATGTCCATTGCTTTCTTCTCCATGCGATTGGTGAAATTTCCACTGTCGAATAGCTCTAAACAAAGCAAAATTCCAAGAATACACAGGCATGCTACAGAGTATCTGTGTGCACAAAATTCAGGCGTTCATGGTGCGTTTTCGCTTATAATTAACGGTATGAATACAAGTTATCAAAGAAATATCTTCAACGGCTCAGTGCATTAGAATATCGAAGTGGCTATTTTACCCCAGTGTTTGTGGCAAAATAGATTTTGGCTATTTTGCCCCAGTATGTGGGGCAAAATAGATTTTGGCTATTTTGCCCCAGTATGTGGGGCAAAATAGCAAAAGGCTATTTTGCCCCACACTGCGCTTAAATATCCTTCAGCTATTATGCCACACTGCAAAATGCTTTGGTAAAATAGCCATAGCCTTAGAACATATATACCGGTAACCATGTTGTCGGTACATGGCTGAAGTGGTAATTATACGTTTGTCAATTTTCCCTAACTGATCTTTAAAGGAATCCACAATCAATGCGCCAGGTAAAAAGGCCCCAAGCAAAGGAATTTCCGTGTTAAGAGTCACTGAAATTCCTTTGCTGAGGGACGTCTGCGTTGACCAAAAGCCGGGCAGCGCACACGTAGTCGCCAGCAACTTTAGGTGGCAGGCAGTTGTCACGGGCAAAGGCATGTGAAATTCGGCGACTGGGAAGCGGCAAACTACGGCAGTTTTATTCCAACCAATCTTACTGGCGGTGGTTGTCAACCACAACAGTGCACCGAACGGACGCCGACATCAGCGGAAACTAGTATTGGATATGTGAACTTAGATGTGACGGAAGGTATGTGGCGGCCCGCGCTCAATCTCGGACTTGGTCTTGGATTTCTAAAACTTGTACTTGGGCCACACTTAACTTGGACTTGGACTGCTGAAACTTGGGCTTGGACTTCTTAACTGGACTTCTAACCTAGCCCTTCTAACTTTGACTTGGACGTCCTACTTGGACATCTCAAGTTGGACCTTCATTTGGGATTACTTAGGTTTCTTAGGTTACTTTGAGGTTTCTTAGATTAGGTTGTCTTAGGTTTTTTCAGGTTATCAAGAAAACCTCTGAAATTCAAAGAAAAAGTGGAAATCTAATTATTCTAAAAGAACATAGAAGGCTAGGAAACCTAGGAATGACCTTCGAATAACCGAAGAAATCTAAAAGATCTAAAAAACCTAAAAATACCCTAAGAAACCTAAGGGCCCAAGGAACATGCTTTCCAAGCCCTGGTAATTTAAGTTGTAAAGTCCAAGTTTAGAATCCCAAGTTAAAAAGTTCCAAGTTGAAGAGTCCAGATCCGAATGCGGTCCAAGTTGTAGTAGTCAAGTCGAAACTTGAGTGGGGGCCGTATGAGACGCAGGGTACTGGGTATGTGAAACTGAACAAGCTTCATCTGACGCTTTTCATCACGATTGTTACTTTTGACGAAGGCTTATTGCAACGTTTTGCAAAGCGTGATCCAGATTAACGGTTCAATTTTCTGGAATACATAGAACCCTTACATTCAAACCCATTTGGAAACCTTTAGACCGGCAGACACGGGTTATTCGAAAACCGTGGGCTGGAGCCATATCAAAGTGCTTTGGTACGTCACGCCAGAGATTGTTAGCACTTCTGCGGTGTGAGAGAGTTAATCGTAGACAAGATAGGGTGGAAGTACTACGCCAATCCGTCAAATCTAGAGTAATTGCAATCGAGCGTTACTGTGCGCCCTTCCCTGCGTCGCCCTTTAAGCAGCGGTCAAAAGGTTTCCAAGGGGGCTCCTTGGATTGTATGTAGGTCAACGGAATATATTAACAAAGTGCTAGGTTTAAAATGCAGCAAGCGAAAGAACTTCATAATTTTAGAGTTAATGAACACCGCTTAGCAAAAGTTGTCAGACGTACTCTTCAGCTGCTCGGAAATCTTGAGACGGAGCACCTCGCTCCACAAACCGCTGCTGCTATTCGAACGGTTGCATGCATAGGCGTAAAAATCCAGGCATGGATCAACGGTTTCATCCAGTTTGGATACGATTTCACGGGCTGAAAAGATCACAAAGCCTAGCCAAATTGTACTGCCTGATAACGACTGCCAGTAAGAAAGTTTTTTATCGGAGATTCAATGTAAAATCCAACCAATGCAGAAAATTGTTCCGAAACCATTTTTGTTTTTTAGGCAGATGTTCTGCGTAGTGCGTACCAACTTGATGACAAAGATCCGACGTGCAAACGGGTGTTGACAACTGCTGCCGCCCCGTAGCTTGCACTACATTAGCAGTTGCGACCAAAAATCCTACCACACCCAAAAGTATCATCGCGTACCAACCAACTCTGTCAGTCAAAAATCTTCCGAAACAAACAAATTTCAGTAATATTCTCTAAAAATTATTCACAAACTACAGCAACGAAACAAAAATTTGTATAAAATCAAGTAAACCGGATTATTTTTACATATTTTGCACTCTCAAAACCCGCAGAGCTTTCCAGACGGATTCTTCGAGGAATATAACAGTACTAATGCCAGAAAGTATTTAAACGTTGAAAGCGCTTGTTTGTCCTAGGGGATTATTTCTTAGTTGCTTAACGTCTTTAATCATTAATTAAGCGCGGCGTTTGTAACAAATATGGCTAGCGGCAAATCCGGCAAATTAGTATTTATATGATTATCTTTGTACATTCAGCATGCATGTGACTGTATGCGTTTACGGAATGCTTTGTGAATTCTAAAGCGGAGGTGACTGATTTGAAAGTAGAGGGGATGATGAACATACAGTAATGGCACTAATGTCTATGATAGTAGTGAAACTACAGCACTCCAGCGCTCTATGATGTCATTTGCAAATTACTGATACAAACTGACATGAGCACATATTCGCGATTTAGTTGATAATCATCACACCAAGTCTGTGATCATATTCATAACCAGCCCAAACAAAATTAAATTCAGGGAGAGAATGCGCTTTGCGGTAGGAGCCCTTTATGGCTTTACCAGACTCGGCTGATATCTCGGAAGTGTTCTTGTGGTAGTTTTGACGGATACTTCGAATATTGCCTTATATGGGCTCCCCTTGTATTACTCTCCCTTATCTGGGCTCCCGAGCAATATGAGCAACCCTCTACATGCGCGGTTACGTTATTACCCACACTTTCGCAGTTGTTATCAGTGTTATGACTGACTGAAACTTTTGATTTATTTAAAATACTTATTCTGCCAGTAGTTTTGTAGCATTTTTCAGTTTGTTCATTGGCAAATTCGGTTGAAATTAATGGAAACATGTATATAAATAATATATATAAATATAATTCGGATGTGAAATTTCGGAACTCTTTGGTGTGCTCACTGGTAAATCCGATTGAAAGAAGTAGAAAAGGGTTCCGCTATAAATCCGATAAATTTAATTTCACGGGTATTGCAAACTAGCCGGGAGCCCAGATAAGGGAGAGTAATATAAGGGGAGCCCATATAAGGCAGTATTCGAAGTATCTTCTGTTACCGAAAAGATATTTGAAGTGTTTGTGTCATTAGACCGATTATTGCACAGCATTAGCACGTCTTTCTGTATTACTAATTTTTAATTTATGTATAAAGTACAGAACCAATTTCTGGATAACACATATTTTAGTTTTCTATGGTACACATACAGACTTTAAAAATTGGGGATTGACATCCACTGTTCTGCCAAGCTACGAAACAGCAAGCCGTTTGAAGCCACAACGGGGCTATATAACACCAGCTAGAACGCTGAAATTCCCCGATTACAGAGCTGTTACCAAACAACACTACCACCAGCAGTGATAATATTAACAACAGCATTGTTTTATTAGCAGAAAACGTAGTTTTTGACATTGAAAACTGCCGTACCAATATGTTATGAAAACTGAGACATCGCAAATTGTACATTGTGAATTTTGAAGAGCGGTTCAGCAATCATCAAAACACATCGCGGCCAGTTTTTCTGTTATTCGGCAAGAAGGGCATTACGCGGAAATGAAGTATGGTGCCGTTTGAAGTGGATGACTGCATAATTTTTAGAATTTTGCTCATACTTATCACTTATCAGCTTTCAAGGCTCCTACTGCAAAGCATGGCATGTGAAAATTATTGTTTGCACATTTTAAGTGCCATAGTATTGCCAACCAAGATTCCGCTTGGTTGGGAATCACCTGCGGCAGAGAAATTCAAAAAGCAGAATTATGCAATGTACAAATTGCATGCGTTCCTTCTGTCAGATTAGGCGCTTTGGAGAATTATCTATCGATGCTCGTCCATATCGATAAGTTGTGAATACAGACTACAGAGTATACTTGAATTTTACTCTAAGGAAATTTATCTACGGTATATGCGCAGGTTTTGCAGCGCTTCCGTTATACTCGTATGTACATCCATGCAGCATACTTTTAGCTTGAGGATAGTGCAATCATAATTACCGATTTCGCAGAGTCAGAAATCTCTGAAATGAATATTCTGAGACTGTTCGCAACATAACAAAGTGCTGGAGCTGCGATCAGCGAGCAGTTCAACATCCAGCCGCTTGTAAGCTCGTTATTTGCACTAAGCAAATTTCCATGATGTTAAGTGTCAAACGAAAAGCGTTACTAAGCTAACTCTAGAATAACTGCCTTCTCGATTTGCATTGCATTTATTTCGCGTTGAAAAGTCAGAAACTTCACGATTAGCACAAAACCAGTTGAAAAGGGCACATTAGACACTCAAAACGAATCCCATATTTATTCTTTGTTTTTTGACCACAGCAGAGCAAAAAGAACTGCTTTCTCGGACAAAACATCAAAAGCCAAAAGAGATTTAAAAGAATAGGAGATTTAAAAGACTTTTAAAATGTTAAACAAATCATGATGCCTAAGCTTGAGCATCCTCCTCGCCCCGCGCCGGAGGTCCCTAAAACTATTTCTTGTAAAGCGTTTACCGCTGAGGTCGTCGTTAGGTATGGAAATCTGCTGGAATACATGGTCATTTTAAAGAACCTATTTATACGCATTCCCAGATACGCGTATGGAAGCGACCGTTAGAGTTTAATTCGAAATTACTGTATTCCCGCTTCAGGAAATTCTAACGCGGCAGACTGATTACGATAGCTAAATTACGATAGGTGCGCTTTATTCGATAGGCATTAAGTGTGAAGCTGCTAGAGAAGCGAAACGTGATCGGCAACTCGCGGTGCGGGAGCTGCCATAAGTGTTTTGTAGAAAACTGACTGCAGCTTCCACTGCTTCAGGACCCTGGGTCCGTAAAATTTTCCGCCGCTGATATTTAAATTTTCCACTAGCCAGAACAGCCGACACCATTTTGATGCTGCTCGAGTATCGCCGGTTAAGTTTGCTGATAGACGTACTGATAATAAGATCCAGTTTCCCGACCATATTTCCAGATTCTCCCAATTGTAAGCTGCGTCTGCGAAAAGCATGTTACACCTGAGTGATCCGGTAAATTTCATTGGGTATATAAGGACTTGCAGCGCACGGTAAATTTCGTTAATTCAATATTTTCTTTTTACAAAGTTTTAACACCCCTAACGTCTTCCAGTATTTCATCCACAATGAACGTGGTCATGAGTTTGTTTTTCCTAATCCTGTGTCCGGCAGATTAACTTAGATCACATTCGTTTCGTAACAACGACAAATAATGTTGGAGAATTGTCTGAAACCGGAGAGGAAAACGCATGCTCCAAACATGTTTGTTTTGAGTATACGACTGTGTACTATTCCACGGTCCATGTGACTTGGATAGAAGTGGTTGATTCGTGGGCAAAATTTTTATCCCGGCCTACTCGCCATTGTTCATGTATCTGGAAGACTAATGAAGTTGGCATGTTTATTCGGATTTCATAGTTCGATAAATTTTCTGCAGCCTACGCCACTTTTAGCAACGAGTTACTAAAGACGTACCAAATAACTAATGCCATGCTTACAATACGGAATAAATAACTACGAAAAAGAAAAAGTGTTTTTTTCGGGTTGCAGAGCAATGGGTGTTTAATTACTGTGGAACTAGTCGGTTCTCCCTGTAGTTGGTAACTCCAACTAGTGCGTACAGCAGCGTTTTTCAAATTACAGCCGTCATATGGTTTTATGTTGCATCGCCATTGCAACAGATACTATCTTACTCGAAAGTTAAAACCATCTCGAGAGACAAAGCTATCTCTACCACGCTTTGATTCGCGGGTTCATCGGGGATCCCAGCGGACAGTTGTAAGCTGCATTAAAATCCGCGCTATTCATATAGGATCCCATCACCCGAAATCGGAAGGGTGCGTGCACTCCGTCGATAGATCCTGGATTGCGGGTGCACCATGTCTAAAACAACTCCCGCTGTAGCTCTACCCCATTCTAAGTGTCAAAAAATGTCACCTGAGCCCCTATTAACCAGAAAAGTTGGTCCTCATCTAAAGCTTCTAAGCCCGGCAGTTTTATGCGGTATCCCGTGCGGCGCTTAAAATTACTAAAAGCCTGAAAAAGAACAAATTTTATTGCGCAAATTATTCATAATTAAAATACCAGGAATATGAACCAAGTAAGCAGCTCGGTATCCGCCGTTGTCGGCAGCGTTCTCGATGAGGGTGTGCCGTCCATCGACGCTGTCATTCTTCGTGGGGATATTGTTGTAGAAATCGACTAAAGTGTACTTTCTCGCATTGTAATTGCTCAATGTTGCATTCGTCCACCAGTTAAACGGTTTCCCGTCTTTTCCCCATTCCATATCTATTAACGAAATTTGTCGTTACACATACACTTAGAAAAGCAGAGATTTTTCTCTTACAAAATCTCTAAACTCACCTCCGATATCCAAAGCATGAGTGAGTTCGTGTGCAATTACAAAACCCAAGCGAGCGTAATTAAAAATGTCCATGTTGATTGCGTAGAACATCGGTGGCTGCAATGTGGCCGCCGAAATAACTGCAAAACCAACGATCGGCAATTTTCAGTTACTAGTCAAACAACTTCTGATGCAAGAGGCAGGAATTTGTGGTCATACAGACTCATACTTAGAAAAATGTGAAATGAATATTTATAAAAAAATGTGTAAATGTTTACAAAATAAAAATGCAAAAATCATTATTCAAAAAGCAAAAAACAGTGCAAATAAATTTGGAAAGGAAAGTCTGCAAAATAGCCTTTTTATGACATTTATTCGACGAAAACATCCGTTCCAACGGTAACTATCTTAAAGAAAACGTTAAACATAAACGAAAAAGGAATATACCAATATAATTGCTGTTTGGGTACATGTTGGCGTATACCACGGTCATATCGGCAGAGTCAAAAGGATCATTACGAGCGTTAATGCGGGAGAGTTTTTGCAGGGTGATCCAACTGTTGCTTTGATCGATGGTGCGTAGTGTGTCGTGGAATGATATCTCCAGTTTGACCTGCAAGAATGGCGGCTATAGGAAGAAAATAAACGGAGTACTTTTGAGCCAAAGCGCGGACCACGGTAGCTTCACACTTGTAGCCAAGACTGCGCCTGAAAACGGGAATTTACGCCGCATAAAAAACGCTGTCAATATTTTAGTAGTTTCTGTGCTTCCGCTTTCGAAGCTCAAAATAAAACAATAATCTTATTGAGGACTGTATACTGTTTTACTTTCTTGAACCATTACACCGTTACAAATGTTTTCAAAAGCTGGGCGGCGTGAAATTGTTGACTAGCCTTTGCATAAAGGTCATCGATTAGCTTCCAGTTATCCAAGAACTCCTCGGGAAAACCGACACTCTGAAGAGTGTGGTTGAGCTTATCCATGGCCGCTTCTTGCGTTGCATGGTCCATCCAAGTAGTTTGGAAGAGAACTGCATCGCGAACCGCGTTTACAAGTTCGGTTGTTAACACATTCGCCTGTTGAAAGCAATTTGCTGTTGATGTTTTAAAATTTGCTTGAATTTCACCTTTTACCCAGACGTCGCATTTTGCACAAATAATTTTTAAACTTTTTTTTCGTAAGGTATGTTTGACCTTTTGAGCGACTTTGCTTTGTATGTACGTCTTGAAGAACATTCCTGAAACAGTCAACGGCATGGCCGTTTTCACCACCTTCACGCAGTTTCCCGCCTCTTGAAATACAAGATAGTAGTGGTAGAGCGTGGTCCACCAGAGCCAATCAGCTATTGTCGCAAGTCCCGCGTCCCCGTCCGCTTCCAGCTGCGCCATCGTCTGATCCAGCTTGAGGAGGTACTGTGGAAACATGTCCCCAACCTCAGTAGCGGTCGTAGCTTGAAATTTCACCAAAGATGTTTTAAGCATGGCATTGAACAGCGGCATTAAGCTTGAAAAGAATCGCGAACGGTATGGCGGTTTACTAAGATCACCAAATGTTAAGCGCTTCAGAAAGTTCACCGATCCCTTTGGGTCCTAAAAGTAAATGCTTTAGAGAAAAAATCACCACGATCGAAAAAAAGGATAACAGCAACGGTACTAGTTGTCGAAAACGGATAAATTGAAAATCAAATATTTAACACGTGGCAAACAAAAGGCGAAATAAAATTGAAAAATAAAACGAAACACCTGGATGAAATCAAAGCAAAGTAAAAAAAAACTGAAGTACAAAAGGAAGTAATAATGACATTGTGTTAAAACATTAGAAAGACATGTGGATATATTCTGAATTGTATCTGTCAGAGGAATCAGACAACATGTTAAAACCAGAAATAAAAATAATAAAAGGCGAAACCCAGAAAATTTTAAGTGGTTGAACCGATTTTCAAGTCACAGTTCGCACAGTTGCCATCATAAAATCCAACATAAGAACTTTCTCCAGCCGCTTTTCAACCGTTGGCCAGTGGACACTTGCATTGGCCACTTTCAGCAATCTGGAGATAATAAGTGTCCATGTGTTCATTAGGTGCTCAGTTGCATTGCAAGGAGAGGGGTAACGGGCACAATATCCCCATCGGTCCGACATGCGTTGAGGCATCCTAAGGAACAGGATATTCTGCTCGCTGGAAAAGTCGTTTTTTTCTACGGAAAGATGAATGATGGACTGAATGTTGTTCTGCTGCAGACGAAGGAAAATTTCGTCCAAACGAACAGCGGACACATTTGGATTGCCTTTCAATAGCGACCATCCACCAAACAAGTCATCAACAGCGCGCACAAGACCGTGGACGTCGAATGGCCTGTCTGTGGAGAAAATCAGTAATGATGGACGCTCAAAAACGTTTAGCTCGAATTAAATGGAAGGGATAGTTTTACATTCACTGTACTGCCACCCCGCACGTGTCGGCATAAGGCAATCGTAGTGAAGGCGGGTAACTTGTTAAAGGGAGTATACTCAGCTAGTAACCGGCAGTCCGCACGCAGATTGAATTGGTGGATGAGAAAAAAAAGTATTAATGGCCTGCGACTGAATCGCTTGCCTTTAACACTGCGAGTACTACACACATCTCACGCCGTACAAAGGTGTTTTCAAGTGCAGGCATACTTATAAAAACTCTGAATACCTCGCGTCTCGTTGATGCACTGGTTGTATATATCCACTGCTTTTTTTTCAGTGGGATTGGTGTAATTTCCACTTTCGAACAGCTCTAAACAAAACGGGAATTCCAACAAGATACATGCATTCAACAGAGTATACATAAAATTTAGTGCAGCTAAGGTGGGTCGGCCAACTTCGCCTTTGACGTCCATTTGCCTTTGCCGGTTCAGTTTGTCGTTTTCAACTTTACCTTTGCCTTTACCTTTTGCCGGTGGAAAAGCCGTTAGCACAAGAATTTGCCGTTTTAAATTGCCGTCTCTAAAAGCCTTTGCCGTTTGGCAAACGAATTACCATTAACACATTGCCGTTCCCGAACATTTTTGCGAAAGTTTAACAGATTTTAGTAATTTTATTCCCATATACACTACCAAAAACAATATCAGGATAAGATGATGACATCATACTGTATTACAGTAACAGTACACGTTCAGCATAATCTTGGCGCTAGCACTAGTTTGTTCGTAACGTGATGAACTTAAGAATTTGATTCGTCAGGTAATTAATTAGCTTAAAAATTTGCGCCGGTTGACGGTAACTTCTGCTAGTTTTAATTTGAGATTACGACCTACCAATATAATTTTGTAGATCATATGGATAACCTTGTGGATGTGCTAATAACTTTAACAAAATCATGTTCAGTACTACTGTACTAGTATCAAGATTATGCTGTATATTGTTACTGTAGTACAGTGTGATGCTATTTCATGTTGTCCTGATGTTCGTTTTGCGGTTTATACAGTAAAACAATTACCAAGATCTGTCTGTAAAAGTTTCGCAGACGGACTGTGCGCATAAAGTACACAGGAAATGTGAAAAAACGTAAAACCGGAAAACACTTGAAAAATGTTCGGGAACGGCAATCTGTTACGGCAACGTGTTAATGGTAATTCGTTTGCCAAACGGCAAAGCCAAGGCTTTTGGAGACGGCGTTCTGAAACGGCAAATTGTTGTGCTAACGGCTTTTCCACTAGCAAAGGTAAAGGTAAAGTTGAAAACGGCAAACTGAAACGGCAAAGGCAAATGGGCGGCAAAGCCGAAGTTGGCCGACCCGTTACGGTTGATGCGCTTTCGTCTGGTACCTACTGACCATAACCCAACAGATATTATTTTTAAGCTTTTCAGTTCGCTAAAGTGTCATTATCGAACCGTATCTGTAATGTTGCTGTGTACAGGTTAGAATTATACAAATACAAATTTTTGTCGACGGATTGCTAGCGAAATTCACTAATAATACGCCAGTTACAAAAGTACTAAGCGAAAGAGTTCCAGTATTAACTATCACGAAGCGCCAATCGGCCTACACGTTGTCGCAAGTACCTTGAAGTTGTTTGAAAATTTTGGGATCGAGCACGGTGTGCGATAGACCGCTGCTGCTGTTCCAACGGTTGCACGCGTAAGCGTAGAAATCCTCGCATGGATTAACAGTTTCATCCATGCTGGAGATGATTTCACGGGCTAGAGAAAACATAAACGAGTTGTTCAATGTCTGCCTCACTTTACTGTAGTGACTGGCAGCGCGATAGCTTTGGGCAGCGACAGCAGTGCTGGAATTGTTATTGGAAATTCAAAGTAAAAACACGAGTACAGCAATGCAGGAAATTGTTCATGAGAATTTTTGCTCTGATTTGATGAAAATATTAAGGAACGACCGTCCAAGGAAAATGGAATTCCACGGATGGAATCCAATTTCCAAATCCGCGCTCCTCGCGGGCGGCTCGGATTTGGAAACTGGAATTTAGGAAATCCGTGGAATTCCAATTTTCGCTTGGAATTCCAGATTCCCTGTATTTGGAATTCCAAGCGCATAGAAATGTCAAGGAAAAACAATGAAAACAAAACAATTTTCGTGTTGTTTTTCGACAGGCGGCTGCAAATTTTTACATTACCTCGTCTTCCGGTCTCAAACGATTTATTTTGAAAATAGCGTAATCGCCATAGTAGTAGCCGCCAACGTTACTGTTTTCTATTGATTTTTATTTCTTTTGTATTGTCAATAGATCAGGAAGTCTGCTTGATCTATCCGGCAGAAAACAATGTTCTTCTTCAAAAATTTGCATATTTCGGTCACCTGGTGTTCACATTTCCTGGCAAAACAAATATACTAGAAAAACTGCGCTCATATAATATTTCGAAGCATGAACTTAAAAAAATCCATAAAACAGCAAACAGAGAACAGAAATTCGACCGGCTGCGACGTAAAGGAATTGCTCTTCAACATTTGCAGAATTCAGAAATTTCGAATTCAATCATTTTTAATTCTTTAATCTGTTTGGAGTTTCAAATGAAGTTTTTAATGACGAATGCGCAGTAATTAGGCAGCTGAAGTTAATCAAAATGACTTTTTTTTCATAGTTATGTAAATAGATAGTTGAATAACGGTATTCCAACAAAAACTAACAAATCCTTGGAATTACGGAAATCCGTTTGGATTTCCGTAAATCCACGGATTCCATGGAATTCCATGGCAATTTCCTTTCCAAATCCTTTCCACGGGCTCGCGCCCGTGGATTTGTCCTCCTTAGATGAAATGTTTTTTTACGTACCGACTTGGCGGCAAAGAACTGAAGTGCAAACGGATCTAGATAACTGCTGCTTCCCGCTAGCTTGTATTACACGAGCAGCAGTGATCAATCCAAGCACGCCCAACAGTATCATCGCGCGCTTGCTGGCTTTGTATCTGAAAAAGCCTTCAAAAAAAACAGATGTCAGTTACAGTGTCTGAAAGTTATCCACATATTATAGGCACGAAAGAATTTGTATGAACCGTGTTCTTAAACGAATTTGCCGCACTCTTAAAACGGGCACAGTTCCACTAGCCGGATTTTTGATGACTAAAACGGTGTCAATAAATTGCAGGAAGTAGTGAAACTTCGAAAGCACATGTTTAAAGCCTTAGGGAATCATTGTTCGGTTGACTAAAATTTTGTGTCAGCATTTAAACGCACTGTATGCAGCGAATACCGCTAGCGGCAAATCCTGGAAATTGGTGCTAATATAGTTTAACAAACTGTTAGCTCTAAAGAGAGAACATGTCTGTAGCATACACGACGCTGCATGATTATGTAATTCTGCGCGGATTTAAGAAGCATAGGTAGTTATTTCGTGGGAAAGCGGATTAGTTCGGGGTTATTATAATTTTAAGCCTAGCCATTATTATATAGAAATGTTACTTATGTCATTGCTAGTTACGGACCTTATGGAGTCGGCACTAAAAAGCTAGTGGAAATGGTTGGAAACGGTATAGTGACTTCCACTGGCCAGAAGCGGGCGAAAGAGTTTTTTAAGCAGCGAGTATCTATGCAAATACAACGGGGAAACGCGATTTGTGTAATGGGTACGATCCCCGATCAAGGTAGCATAGAGAAAGTGTCTCTGTTATAAATGCTGCTTCGTTTTGGTGCACAGTTTGTACTCGTATCATGATACTTATTAAAGGTTTAGTATTCTAGTTAATGGTAAAAGATCCGGGGTCTGTTGACGAGATTTGCAAGTTAGGACGTTGCAGTATAGAGGGACGCTTTAAAAGTACTTCTGGCGATGAGGTATTAACAGATTTTTATTCATTTATCAGAGGTAATTTAGCCATGTGAGCGGAGAAGCGGCTCACGTACAGCGATAAAGTCTGTCAAAGGATTTCAACGTATTGCGCCGTGGTGCAGTGGTACTGCCTACGCGGATCTTACGACGTAGCCGGGGTTCGATTCCCCCATCGGCGCCTTTTTCAGCCGTATCTCGGTTTCCAGTGGATAGCGCCCTGGTTTTATGGTAGCACAGCGTGGTTCGAACCCAGCCTCTCGAGTCCTAAGTGCGACTTCGTGTGCCAACCTCAAAAAAGGAGGAACGGAGCAACCTCAAACGGTCGAGGATGCGGTGAGCCGGAGCCGCCGCTTGAAGGATCGCTTAGACTCGCTACGAGGACGTAGCGAAAGCTGCAAAGGGGGTGTGAGCGGAGAAGCGGCTCACGTACAGGCTGGTACAGCGATAAAGTCTGTCAAAGGATTTCAACGTATTGCGCCGTGGTGCAGTGGTACTGCCTACGCGGATCTAACGACGTAGCCGGGGTTCGATTCCCCCATCGGCGCCTTTTTCAGCCGTATCTCGGTTTCCAGTGGATAGCGCCCTGGTTTTAGCCATTTGGGATACGTATGAGCACGACATCGCCCGTCGGGAAAGGCAGTGAATGTACTTCGGTAAACGTGTGACGTGTGTACGATATTTAACACAGCTCATGCACAACAGGCAGCAGTTTTTTTAGTATTTTAACCATAACACATAGGCCGGCTCCAAATTCAAAAAAATCCGAATTTTTTTGCTGAAAGGTGGTATACCTAGTACCTACGTAGTATATTAACAAAACTAATTTCAGCTGCTGTGATCAAGCTAAGCGTGGTTAACCGTTCTAGAACTAGTGGGGGCTTTTTGGAACTTACACAATTTCAAAAATTCTAAAACATTATTGTAAAAAAGCTTTGTTTGGTCAAACCATAATGTTTAACTGTAGAATTTGTAGCTCTATCTTTTTTGTCTAAAGTCCAGCAAAATTTGACCGGTGGTCATGGCTGTGGCGTATGGGGGACATTTGGACCCCAACTCTGACTGCCTCAGCTCTAGCTGCCAATACTTACCAACCTGTGCATTAAAAAATGAACGATAAACACGTTTTATGTGGCAACGATTTTGCTAGAAAATCAGATGATGGGAAACAAGTAGGATGAAAGCTCGCCAAAATACAGCAGGGTAGCTCGTAAGCAGCTAATGTGCTCTTCCAGTGCGAAGTGTTGGCCATGCTACCACATTGCGAGCGGTAGCGAGTGCGTAGCTGCTAACATGGCTGTGTACTAGAGGCAGGCAGTCGTAAGCTACAGGCCCAAAAAGACCCCCGTCGTGTTTAAAACTGCCAAAATTGGTAAGTGACAGAACGGTTAAACTCAAATTAACGGAAACGTAATACCACATAATATTACAATGCACATATACACAATGCGTATACCACATACACATATAAGGGGCGAAAGTAACGCGTTCCACCGATCCCCTGTACTGCTGCCGTCACCCGCCTGGAGTGTGACGTTACAGCAATACATAGGGTTAAATCAGGCGCGGTAAATAAGCGCCTTGTTCAGCCATAACGTCAGACTCCAGCCGGCTGACGGCAGCAGTACAGGGGAACGGTGGAAGATGCCTGCTTTTGCCCCCTATATACCACATATACAGAGTATAATACATATACCACCATATGCTATTCACAGCACAGGCGTTATGCGTGGAAATCGTTCTGCGGGCATTGCAGTAGACCATTGGCACCTGCCGAGCACCTAGGCAAGTAAGACCCGCGTGCGGTGGTCTCTGCCACCGCTGTTGAATTGCTAACTATCAGAAAAGTATTATTATATAATTTATTTTTGCACATCGTGCAAAAATTTGTTTAGATATTTAGCAAGCACGCAAATCAGAAATTCTGCATTTAGAAACTATCTCATGCATATTTCAGTTACTCGTACTTACCTCGGTATTAGGCAGCTGTCGGAGTCAACGGCTAATGCCAACTGAAAAGCCACAAAATTAGTGTAAGCATAAAGCCTGTTCCGCATTGCAATAGTATGCGGTTTACGTTCATTCTTATGTTTGGCTACGCCTACCTTGATCACAGCAGCTAAAATTATTTTTTAAGAATATGACGCAGGCATAGTACCTTTTTGCAAAAAAATCGCATTTTTCTGAACCTGGAGCCGGTCTATGTGCCCTGATTAAATGTCTATCTATCTATACCAAAGGCGCGGTTAGTACACGTTAAATTTTTTTCGGGCATGTGGTTTTACTTGTATCCACAGTATCCCACCGCAGCCAAAGCATCCTCCGCGCATCCTTCATGTATCCTCAAAATTTTCTACTTTTTCTTAGACAATGCAGTATTCCACCGTATCTGTGCAGTGTCCTTTGTGCATTCCAAATGTAAGTTATCCGCATACTCGAAGGATACAGCAAGGATGCGTCAAGATACATTGGGAGACTGCATTTACTGATCCCCCCAAGCCTGTATTCAGCAGGACAAATGAAGAATACGTAAAAGATACTGTGCAATACGGTGGGATACTGTAGATTTTGAATGTAACAAGCATCCAAACATCAATTTAATAGTGGGTATTCTGCACGTATTGCAGTTACAGTATTTTGTTAATGTGGTCACACTTTTTAACTACTCGTACGGTCGTTCAAATGGCCACCTATAGTGCTTTGAACGACCATCGCCAATTCACTTATTATAGGTGGCCATTTTAACGACCGTACGAGTAGCGTATCCCACAGTATCCCCGCAGTATCCTCTGTGTATCCTCCATGTATCCCGTCATCGCGTTTTCTTAAATTTCTGAGGGTTTTTAACGGGGTCATGTGGGATACATAGAGGATACTGCAGAGATATGTTGGGAAACAGCAGCAATCGCACAGAAAGCAAAAAGTGTAAGGATGCATGAGGTAAAGGTAGATAATACCCTGGAATACGGCATGATATTGTGGATACAAGCAAATAAAACTCAGAAAATTTGACCGTGTACGAAGTCGGTCATATCTAACAATAACTCTGTTCCTTAATCGAACAGTGGCGCTAGATGGATCAACGGTTACAGCGACTTGTATCAGAATAACTTAAAGAAGAGTGTTGGAAATTTGGTGCATGTGCTAAAGCCATATTAGTGCTAAAACCTTTGCTTTCGTGACCTTCCAGTACCTTTTTGCATTGTTTTGTTACCGATAAAGTATAGCAAACGGGTTGTAAAAATTGTTGCAAAAACCGTTTGTGCGTGAAGCTTGCGGTTGAACATTTAAATTAAATTTCAGAAATCTAAAAAAACTATTTTATAATATGAAAAAACCGGCAAAAATTAGGTTCTTTGTCAAACAATCTTTATGCTGATTACGCGCGTTTAAACGTTTATGAATTTTCAAATAGACATTACACTTTAACGGAAGAAGCACGTACAAAAGGTTTTCACCCCAGTCTATGCAAACCGGTTAACTGTAAAGGTCAAAGCTATGCGCATTAGTTTCTTAGTATAAAACAAACTTTCTAATTTAGAATTTTACACAAGAAAAGTTGTAGGTCGTTGTATATATCCAAAGCAACCCAGCCATTCCCTTATGCTTTGAAGTCGTGAAACCGTGAATTGGTGAAAAATCAGTACCCTGAGCAGATCACAGAGGTTGGCTCAAAATCCAGAAAATCTTTAAAAAGAAATGCTCTTTTAAGGGATTTGGCCCGGTACCTAGTACCAAATTCGGGTACATACACGGGAATTCTCGCTGTCGCGCACTCCAAAACACTTTTTTGCATTGCTTTATGCATTTTGTAGCCAAAGGATTCGTATACGTAGGCGAGAAAACCGTTTGTGCGCGCAACATCCGGTTCGGGAGTTATTAGTAAAATGAAATTCCAAAAGTTTAAACGCGCGTAGGTGTACCAAAAGTCTCAATATGAGCCGAAGCTCTTCAAATTTTGCACGAAAACACAAATTACTATAAAGATTGTTGTGGTACCGAACCAGCTTTCTACCATTTTTTTCAAATTTTAAAATGAATTTAAAAAAATTTTAAAATTAATTTGAAATTTGAAAAAAAATGGTAGAAAGCTGGTTTGGTAATAAAGCGATCTTCAAAGTACTGTGTGTTTTCGTGCGAAATTTGAAGAGCATCCGTTTATAATGAGACTTTTGGTGCACCTACGCGCGTTTAAACTTTGGGAATTTTGTTTCACTAATACCTAACTCCCGAACCAGATGTTGCGCGCACAAACGGTTTTATCGCCTATGTATACGAATTCTTTGGCTACAAAATGTCATAAAGCAGTGCAAAAAAGTG